TACCTTTCCTATATAATTTCTTATTTTTCATAAACAGAGCAAATTAAATTTACTTCTCAGAATAATGAAAAGAAATGATAATATTCTTCAGGTCATTCCTTCTGATCTTTGAGTACACAATGATAATCTATGGGAATGTGTTGAATATTTATTGCATATAGCAGCATTTGAGAGGTTTTTTATTTCTTACTTCTTATTATTTTCTACATAGTACATGCAACCCCTCAGGCCCATAGTACCACAGTATAATAACTTAGCCTTTCATTTTAGTCACATTTCTGGCACTTGCATATTAATCATTTTAGTGTCATATTATGCAGCTCCAAATAATTAAAAGCTCTTTATTTATAAGATTGGAGTAAGATCTTCTGATATAATCAAAATTTTATTAATTGATACCTTGAAAAATGCAACATAGTATAATATAATCCTGACAATTACACTGTCAATTGAGCTGCAAATATTGTCAAGTTCCTTTTAATGTTACACATATAGAGCTTAGTAAAGCCATGAATAGCATAACAACCTTTCAGTCAGTTATGGACCATATACACAGGGCCCCATAAGATGGCAATCCTATTTTTTTATTGTGCCTTTTCTATGTTTAAATATGTTTAGACCTACATATACTTACCACTGTCTTATAGTTACCTACGGTGTTCTGTATGGCAACATACTATACAGGTTTATAGCCTAAGACAACAGGCTATTCCATATAGTCTAGGTGTGTAGTAGGCTATGCCATCTAGGTTTCTATATGCACATTCCATGATCTTCACACAATGATGTGATGATGTATGTCTTAGAATTGATTCCTGTCATTAAACAACATGTGACTGTAAGTAAACTTTCTTCCTTACCTTTCCCACTTACAGGAATAAATGTCACCTAAACGGTGACTACCTAAATTTCATTTACTCTTACTTACACCTCTATAAAACACAATCTCCATCCCGTTCAAAAACTGGTTCACTTTTATCTGAGTTTCCAAGGGTGCCTCACATATGTTCATGAATAATACTATCCTTATTAAATTTTCCTCGCTTCTGCTTAATTGATGTCCATTGTATGGTTAACCAGTGCCTCTGCTCTTTAGGTCTTCTGTCCTTGGGAACTTCACATTCCCCTGATAATAGTAAGGCTGCTGATTATTAAGGGTGCATAGATATCTTATATTTGTTTCCTGGACATGCCAGTGTACTCTTTGCACAAGAGTGAAGACTATTGCCCCCCACTGTCCTCATTCACTATCTCTTCACTGGGGATCCAAAGCCATTTCCCCAGATTCAGTGATCTGCTTTCTTAAACTTCAAAGGTTGAAACCGTTGGGCTTATTTTGGAAACGGTTCTGAGACAGACACTTTTCTATTCTCTTCCTGCTCTTTCACCTAGTACCCAACTGCACACAAACCTCCAGCTGTTCTGACAAATGTGCAAATTTTTCTTCACTACCTATCAATGCATCGTGGATTTTCAAACATTTCTAAGTTTAGTTATGACTCAGCAAGAATGTTAACTACATTACTAAATATGTGTACATATTTATGCCTATGTATATCTCCTAAAAAGAATGTGAACCTAAGGTCTCTCACTGGTTAGAATCAGAGTTCTTTGACACTTTGGCTTCCCTCCTTTTGCAGGTGACAATATGTGCAGAGTAAATAATGGAGGCTGTAGTACACTTTGCCTGGCCATTCCAGGAGGCCGGGTGTGCGCTTGTGCTGATAATCAACTTTTGGATGA